GGGTAGAGTGGGGGGAGACAGAGGACAGTGGGGGCAGAGTTCGGGAAGAGTGAAGGGGTGGGATTGGGGCGCAAGCGAAGCGGATATACCAACCAGTGCCAGAGTTAATAATCATCACATTAAATGAAATACACAAATCGAAGCGCAGTACACAGTTCACTTTCAAAATACTCTTCGTCGTCTTATTTTTTACCAATAGAATAAGAAAATCCATTTGAACGAGGGAAAAGCAAGCAGGGATACGCATAATCACTCATGCTGCGTAGAGTTTCAACAGAATCCACACGGACCACACCTGACAGATGTGTTACGCCCTGGCAACACATGCCCCCCCCGGACTTATGGTCCAAGTACCTTATTCAAAGCATAATAGAGAAAAAAAGACTTATCAAGCCTCCCCGACTTGAACAGAGAGGAAACGTCTGCTTGGAACCCTTTCCCCTCTCTTATTTCTCAAAACCATCTCCGTACGATGTCATCCTTTTTTTAACATATGTCGCACTCCTGCAACCACCAACCCGGGCAACCCCCCTAACGAACCCCATCTCTCTTAACCCTTCCACACCGTGGCTTTGCAATTTCTTGGTTGCGAGGCGTTGCACTTCCGAATAACTACTGCTATAACAGGCGGTTCGCTTCACCTTAAATCGATTTGTCCGTTGTTAACCCTCTCTCTCTCTCTCTCTCTCTGTGTTCGTGTGTGTGTGTGTCTGTCTCTCTGTGTCTTTGTGTCTGCGTGTATGTGTGTCTCTGTGTGTGACTAATTCTCCCTGTAGCCACTTCCAATTTTCCACTCACGGCGCGGCATAGTCACGAGGCGCATCCAGGAGTCGAAGTGTTGCTCGTAACATGCTGTGAATGACCAGCTCGAAGGTGATTCATTTTTAAATTTCCAATCAGGGAAATGACCGTTGGAGAAAATCGCCTCTTCTTCCGTAACATTTCTGGATATCAAGCTCGGTTAGTCTAGCCGATTAACCAATGATGTGGCCAGAACCGCAAAAACTGCGGCAATTACCAAACTGGCTGAAATGGAAGATGCTGCGCTGCAGATGGAATTCATTTTCGAAACCTGTTCGCCTGGGCAGCCCTTCACTTGCAGCAAAGCCTTTTTACACTCCGGTGTGCAAGTGCTAGCTGTGCTGTTTCCCGCCGTGCTGTTTGCCCCCTTCATACATATATCGTACTGGACTTTGATTGTCTGCAAAACAGACGATAATCAAAATTAGTCAAATCGAATCTTATGCTTGCAGCGTTCCGCCTCACTCTACGAGGCAAAGCAACTTGTCCGACATTCAATTTCCCATTTTTCAGGCAGTCTTTCCAGATGGCAACTTGTCCGACATTCAACTTCATGAGGGACGCTGAGCCCCGTTCTCAGCATCTGTGTTGCTCCCCGCGAATAGATCGGAGCAGCATTAAACAAAAAAAACAGAAGTGTGTGATAAAAAAAAAAATCCGATTTTTCAGGGAGTCTTTCCAGATCCCAGTGCCATATCCATTCACATCGAATTCAATTCCAACAGTTGACATTTGATTCGTAGAATTCGTAGAATTCGTGGGTTGAATTAAGGATTAATAGCAAAAATATTGCTCCTTTCGGTTATTCTTTTTCTTCCGAGCCATTTCGGTTAGTTTTTGTAGTTTTCTCCCCAGAGTGAACTATTGTTAACGGTATCGATCATAGGCGGAGGGCCACATGACAAGGCGGTCTGTATCGCCGAAGGGATGGCTCGAGGTCATGCAGAGCAAGCAAGTAGACAACAGCAAAAGCAGTAGACGGGTCAGATTGGGATCCGTGCCTTGAGCAGTCTGTCAAGGTCGTCTTTCCCCCCTCTTATGAAAGAGACGAAGGCTTTGAGATATCAGATTCCAGCTGGCCTCGAGCTCGGGCCTGTTTAGCAATAGTTCTTGGACGAACCACCCACCCACACGGCGCTGGATGCAAGGTCGTTGGACATGCAAGCATACAAAGCTTGTGGGGGTGGGCTCGGGGGCGGGGGCGCGCGAAAGCAAAGGTCGTTGGACATCCACGCATACAATACGCTTATTAGTGGACTTCGACAGTTCGACGGAATTGTCATGGCAGGAGATAGACACATACGAATTACCATGGTTATATCGACTCGAAGACATGCAGGCATACAAAGCTGGAGGCACTCACCGCATTGCTGCAGTCTTTCGCGGCCTGCGAAGACGGAGGCGGAGGCGGAGGTGAGCTGGAGCTGGATACGGGCTCAACTGGAGGTGAACTGCCAGAACCGGAACTCGGGACAACCGTGGGGCCCCGTGAGCTGGAGCTGGATACGGGCTCAACTGGAGGTGAACTGCCAGAACCGGAACTCGGGACAACCGTGGGGCTGACGGGGCCCGTCTGGGAAGATGGGGCCGGAGGCGTACTGGAGGGAACTGGGAGTGAACCGGAGGGCTGCGTACCCTCGGAACTAGACACTGGGCCAGCCGAACTCGAACTCGGAGGTGCCGGGGAAGCAGAGCTGATCTCACCAACTGCCCAAAGCAAAAGAGAACGAATGCAAGAAACGACGTGGAAACGGAAATTAGCAAAATCCAAAATCCTTAGAGTGGTACACGAAAGAGGAACTGCATCAGCCGCCAAAGCAGAGTACTAAAGAATGAGCTCCGCTGATGCTCCCGGTGTTTTCTATGCGAACATGCCCTTTCAGATGAGAGCTTAAACAACGGTTTCGAAGTTTATTGAAATATAAAGCTCAACGGGAGCATACTGATATCAGGAGACCGATAACACGCGGTAACTTAGTAGTAACACCACAGGGATGATATTCGACCTAGCTCCGCTGCAAAAATTCGACCTAGCTCCGCTGCAAAACTCTGAATGTATCGGAAGCATGTAGTGGGACTCGATGCATTCCAGACGTTTGATCCAAACGAACGTATCTGGTCCGATTGACGTCTTGATACATGCAGTGTTAAATAGCGGAGCGAGGCCCGTTGATACCCCAGCATATCCGACGCTCGCCGCCGCTCTCCGTTGTCGGGAGAAGCTTATTTCCCAAAAAAAAAAAAAAAAAAAAACAAAGCTAATCTTTCGTCGGGCAATTTGGGAGTGATGGAACCATGATACTTTATTATTTGACGGAACAGAGGGCTTCGCTCCAATGCACAACATTCTTAAATGTATCTGGAGCCGTTTACGGTCCCCATACTTTCCAAATGTTAGATCAGACCAAATGTATTGAACAAAGGTGGAGTACAGATACATGTAGAGTCTTGTGCAGTGGAGCGATGGCCAGAGGTTTGTAGTCTGCTGTCGTAGGTTCATATCATTTGAAGAACAAACAAAGGAGAACAGCGACGATAATCTGCAACTCTTTCCCGAAAAAAAAAAGAAAAAAAAAAAATCTCCAACTCGCTCAGACAAACACCGAGCAAACAAACGAGCTAGACTGAAAAAGACAGAGACAGACGGAGACATTGAGATCCACAGACATACGCACAGAAAAAGAGACGTAGGGCCTCGCTCCACTACTCAGCACAAACACAAATGACAAAAAATATGGTGGTGTATTTTCCCATGTTCTAGTGGAAGATTCATTCTCATTTTGCAGATTTGGTGAGTAGGAGCGAGGCCCATACGCACATACATGGAGAGAGCTAGAGCGATCAAAGCAGGACTGACAAGGGAAGAGAAGAACGTAACGCAGGACTGACAAGGAAAGAAAAGAAGAAAACCAGAAGAATGCACACGTTAACTTGGCTTGAACGGTCACTTGCACGAATCGTGTCCTTACTAAGGCTATGGGACTCGCTCCACTACACAACACTATATGTCTGGACTAAACGTCGTCCTGATACATTCAAAATGCTGGATTCCTCTGATTGCACCTAACACCTAGCGCAATACAGCGTCAAAATGCATGTACAATGTTGAGTAGTGGATCGAGGCACTTTACTCTGTGACCTCTGACAACTGCCAAAAGTGCTGAGACTCCTGGGAGAGGCATACTGAAAACTTTAAAACTAGTAAAAAAGATTCGACAGGAAAATATTCCTAGCTCAACTGGCCTTAGCTCAATTGGTACACGTACCAAATGTTGAATTGCAAACCTGAATTCGAATTCCCATGGCATCCGATGAGTGAGCATAACTTCGAATTTACCTGGGGCTGGTCAGGTCAGAGATGATAACTGAAGGCCATCGCCCTTTCAAAAGAGAACGAAAAAACAGAAAAAGAAAGATGTTATCCGACGAGCACTCGTAGGCTTTTTCAAAAAGAAAGCTGACATGCACAATCACAGCAGTTTGGGCTTCGTTCCACTGTGGTTCCATTGCGCGCCACACTAAATCATTGGAGCCGTCGATGTTCATAATCTACGGCAAGAAGACATTTCGGTCATCCTTGTCCTCAGTGCAATGGAGCAATTCCCTCTGTTGCCTCAAATATCTTCTGTACTAAGCTTGGCGGTGATAAGCAACCGGACTGATGTCCCCCAGAATAGAACGGGCTTGTGTGCTTGAAAAAAAAGAAAAAAAAAAGAAAAAAAGACACAGCATGCGTAATTCAATTCCCTATGTTGCCTCAAAGATCTTCTGTACTATGCTTGCCGGTGATAAGCAACCGGACTGATGACCCCCAGAATGAAGGGGCTTGTGTGCTTGGAAAGAAAAAAAGAAAAAAGAAAAAAGAGACAGCACGCGTAATTCATCACTGAGTACTATGATGCTCGAGGCTTTCAAGGATCGTCACGCGCAGGACTGCCATCCTAGAATGTAGTTAAATACCTGACCAGAGTTCGAAACCGCTGTGCGCAGCAAGATTCTGCGCGAGCGGAGCGTAATAAGCAGAGGATAAACAGAGTGACAGATGGCACTTACGCGCAGGAAGGATGAAAGACACAAGAAGGAAAGCCGCGAGCACTTGTGAGCCCGACATCTTCGCCATCTTCACGTTGCCGGATCTGCCACACAGCACAAATCCACACGTTTAGGAATACGATTAAAAAAAAAAAAAAAGATAATATTCAACCTTTGTTTAGTCCAACAACGGTAAGCTCCTGCAAACCTTAGTCCAACACTGGGACTTTTCTAGACGTATTTCGGGCTGAAATACGGCCAGATTCCTTCGAGAACGCCGCAAACAGTGAGAAACACATATTCTAGCCCCTGCTGAGCACCATCCACCTCGTGAAGAGAGAATCCAGATCCAGATGAGAAACAGGTGGTCCGAGAGAAAAAGAAAAAAAAAACAATCAATCAATCGCTCAATAGCATCGAGTTAAGCTAGCGAGGACAGGATCTCTTGTCTTTTCTTAAACCACCAGTACATTCCCAGCCATTTTCCTCCAATGCGGCTGCTGCATGCACACCGCAACTTTTTTCCCCCCACTTCAAAACAGGGTGACAGCCGATTTTTTTTTGGTTTTGTTTTTTTTGTTTTTGCGTGGCCCAGTGAACCAGTGATTAGATATTAAACTGATCAGAACAGATACTGCACTTGATCTTAACCAAAAGGCCGAGAACGGTACGAGGTATGATATTTGAACCGACTGCCCCCAGGTAATTCAGAACTGTATTACTATGTTCATCTTGTTGAATCTGGATTCCAACTTGGGTCTGTATTTCAATTTGTCCATGGTTATAGCAATTGAGCTAGGCCCGTTGGTCACGGCGCAACTTTCGCTGTCCGCGGTTCGTTTGCATTTGGCGCACAGGGAGTCCTCACAATATCCCGCGGAGGACGTCCTACTGGCAAAGAGCAGGGGATTCAGCGCCTGTATCTGGACGTGTTTTATGCAGAGATGCGGAAAACACACTGATTCCCATTTTCTGCACTCTCCACAAAAAGATCCAGATTCCAATCCTCGACGATTCTCGTTGCTACCGTCTTCACCCGAATACAACGTACGGAGACCTCGCCACGGAAGGAGCGGGATCATTACCCAGCTTCGGCCCTCCTGGTGTAAAACGATCAGCTTACAAAATGGAACAGCAATACAAAGCTCGCCGCCCAGCTACCGGCTCTCGAACCTATCGGACCAAAATTACTACTGGAGCCGGATGGGCCCTTTTGCCAACTCTTTTGGAATTTTTAAGGGATAAGCGGTTTAATATCTGATCCGTTCAAAAAATAATAACAATAAAATTAAAAAAGAAAATCGCGCATCCGGAAAAGGAACCTCGGCGCTAAGGGCGTACTCACACCAGGATTTTTTCGGCTCAGCTCTGGTGCTAGATGCATCCAAGTCCGGCCGTAATTGCACTCAGGTCCATCCTGAAAAGTCCTAGTCCGAATACGCACCAAATCCCACTTAACGGTTTTTTCCTTCATTTCGCCTATTTTCCGTCCGCTCGTCTTGCCCCTCCCTTTTCGAAATACAAATAAAACAAAATCAATAGTCGAAGTAATTGCCTTTTAGTGAGATCCTGGGTTTAGTCTTCCTCGGAAGTACTTTTCGACGTGGCCATCAATATGCGCCCATGAAATGTGCACATCGGATGGCAGGAACCAGTTGTTACTCGAAATAAAGTACGAAATAAAGTCATTCGGGACATCCGTTCAAATTGGAACGATACAGAAGATTCCGGTTTGACTTCCATAAACCGGATCTGCCGAAGGACGAGCTTAGGAGTTTCTCGATTCGGGTTTTTTACTTCCCAATTTGGATTTCATTCCCCGAAGCGCAATATTCCATCTATCGTCTCATGACTATCAGATCAGCCTTTTATTCTACCCACCTACTCCCTGCCCTCGGTCCCATCAGAGCCTAGCTGCGACTGGCGTCCCAATACAGATCACGCTTCTGACAGGAGGTCCTGTTCATTACCATTTATTTCCCATCGAGCGGAAGTCGCAAACGATGCGGGCGTCGGTTTACTACTATGTCATTTTCCACGATCGACGGGAACTTCAATCACCCACAGATGTTCGATCCGTGGGCTTTCTGACCACAATCATTAAAATAAACAAGCAATCCATCTTTCATTCAGCCATTTCCAGAAGCCGATTTATTTTATCTTATCAAATTCTCAATGGAGAATATGAAAGTTTCATCATCGACGAGCCTACCTCAATTGGTAAACCCACGAACTGTTGAAATACAGACCCAAGCTCGATTCTCAATGATGGAACAAGATGAATCATGAAGAAAAAAAAAAGTTTCTAAAAGACGTTTTACATTGATCAGAAGACCCAAGAAACGGACAAAAGACTAATTAATCAGAGCTTACTCCCCGAGCGCAAAGTAAATCACAGCGATCATTCACTCTGCTACGTCGGACCCACATCTACTTCGATGTAAGATTCCAAACGCGAAGTAAATCACAGCCATCATTCAGCCTGATACGCCTGACCCGCATCTACTTCGATGTAAGATTCCAAACGCGAAGTAAATCACAGCGATCATTCAGTCTGCTACGTCGGATCTAACTGTAGCTCAACGTTGCAACGTCGGATCCTCATCTACCTCAACGCAAGATTCCGAGCCTTCGACGAACCTACTCCGAATCTTCACACCTGCATCGGATCTACTTCTTAAGCTAGCTATGAAGTCCATGCGAAACAAACAGATTAAATTTAATGAACTAAATGAATCGTCCATGAATCTTACCGCATATGGAGAGTAAAGGAGAGATATCCGTCCTCAAACCCGTTAAATCCATCGAGCGCATTGAACATCACCCTGTGCGAGGAAACTTTCATAACAAGATGAAAAGCCGTCTCCAAGCAGAGCGATGCCAGACTTGAGCTACCATAGCTTTGCTTTGTCTCGCCTTTTCCTCTGTAGCCTAGGCTAATGTTGCTCCGCTCAACTCTACCATGGCTTTGCTTTGTCTCGCCTTTCTTCTTCCTACTTCTCGAAGGACATTAGCCTAGGGCCCTCGGCCATGGTTGCTCCACTCTTGGTCCAACTTTACTATTGCTCGAAGAGCTTTTTTCAATTCCGAGTGCTCCGCATACCTGGTGTGTTGCTCCGTGGAGTCCTTGCAACCTGCTTGTGTGACGCGTACAGCTGATTTCGGCATCTGCTGACGTCGGCCTCTTGCTTTCCGTTTTTCCTATTCCACAAATCCAAGAACACAGCTGGAGATGAAAAGTACATCCAATAGAAAATATACGAAACAAAAAAACAAAAAAAAAACACCAAGTCTTCCGTACATCTCGACGCTCTGTCGAGGACGGACGACTGAGCGAACGGAGCATCAGGTCTCATCGTTTTTACAAACTTTTTGTGACCTTTGCGGAGCGGATCCCTATTTAGCCTATTTGTAAAGGGGAGAAAAAAGACAAAGACGAAGGAAGAAGACAAACCTTCGGTGCTGCCGACATCGGAGTTTTCGCATGAGAAACAAGAGAACAAATTCAGATACTAAAAGGCCGAAAAAGGTATGAATTAATCCGCTTTCCTCCTACCCGTGCATAAATAACGAAGACGAATGGAGAACCCCTGCGCATCCTTACTTTTGATCACTATCATATACTAACGCGCCGATTCCTCATTAGGCCAATTAGGAATTCAGAGGACGACAAACCTAGCGGCTCGTGAGATGAGTACTTCCCGACTAACAACTAGAGTACAGAATATCTTCGGTGTTCTTCTACCTCTGAATCAATCCTTTGGCAATTTAAATTTGAAGTTCCTGGGCGGAATTTCGGCGTTTTCTGAACCGAAACCGTCAGGTCCTATTGGGGATACCCCGTAAGCCCTGATCATTTCGGTTCAAAAAACGCCGAAATTGCGCCAAGGAACGCCAAAGCTAAATGCCCAAAGGAATAATAATCAAGATTTGCACCAGCGAAGCAATTCCTCCATCTTAGTTCTAGGTAAGTACCTCTCGACTGGATTAAAAGGCGGTGAATGACACTACTTCCAGCCGGGCAAAACTGACGACATTCGTTTCCGGCTGCGCGACATTGATGCCATTGCTTTCAGCTGCGCGATATTGTTGATGAAACCCCCATCAACCCCGACTCTTTCCCAGCTCTCGACTCGTCGATCGGACACGGGTAATCATCGACTCCCGATAAAAAAAACCAGAACCAACAACTGCCCTAAACCTTACGACCATTATACTAAATTGATGATCGAAAAAAAAAAAAACAGACCTCACGACCATTACAGTAAATTGTGAAAAGTCATAAAATCTCCCCAAAACAAAACCTTCGTATCCATTTCTTCCCAAACGGGGAAAGAGATGCCGCAGACCCCCAAAACACTTTCGGCGTCATTTTCGCACCCTGCAAAAATACTTTCCCGCCATTTTTACACATCGGCCGTTACCGGCCCAGCCAGGGTGCAAAAATGACACCAAAAGTGATTTTGGGACCTGCGGGACTTAATTTCTCGTTTGGGCGGAAATGGATACAGAGGTTTCGTCGCGGGAAGGTCTTATAACTTTTCCCTACTAAATTTCCAAAAAACAAAACAAAAAAAACGCAGTGAATACTGACGCCATCTGTAATATCCGATCTACTTCTCAAGTACGTAAACAAAGAATGAAACAGATTGTTCCCGCGCGTACGATTTTCAAAAATTATCCATCCTCTCTCTCTCTCTCTCTCTCTCTCTCTCTCTCTCTCTCTCTCTCTCTCTCTCTCTCTCTCTCTCTCCCCCCGGGAACAAAGAATGAAACAGATTGTTCCCGCGCGTACGATTTTCAAAAACGCAGCAAGGACGAGGAGCGCAAGTACTCCGATTATACATAGTCACGACAGGGATTTCCCCACTGAAATACAGATGATGGCGAACGATTAACTATAGAAGCATTCAAGTTGATAACAGCATTCCAAGGATAACATCAGACACATACAAAACCAAGTGCCACCAGCGGAAAGGATGGGCTGACAAATAACATCCACTCAGATGAGCAACTATGAAATCCAGTGCTTCGCTGCGACTCAAATCGATCCACCGTATCCTGTCACCCTACAGCTTGCCGATTGTTATACGCGCTCTGACTCCTCTGAGACCTTCCGACGACGGTTGTAGTCCGCATTCTTAACGGCAAAATTAACGGGGTCTTGCACAACAAGGAGGGAAACGTCTCTGCGATAGAAGGGATATAATTTCATATAAACACTACAGTTCGCCGCTTGTCTCGGAGGCAAAATTTGGTTGCACACGATGTTTACCTTCGAGCAGCTGATAACAATTTGTACTCTTCTTCCCGCCACGACTCGCAATACACGCCGGCCTAAGGTAGCCGCGCTCTCGCTATTCACTTTTTCCCCGTCTTTCTCTCTTCTATGATTCGCTCCGCTCTGCTCCGCTCCGCGCTCCGATCACTTCAACTGACTAGTACGCAAATCACAGCGATGTAATGAATGAAGTTCGCGCCGGGATTTAATACCTTCATAAAGGTTACTGTTCCGCCCTAGCGGGAAACGGTATGACCGCTGCCTGGCTGAGGGCGTACCCGACCGCATTTACGGCCGGACTTATATGCATCTGGCTGCAATTCCATCCAGAAATAAGTAAAAAAATGTGCTGATGTGAGTATGCCCTGACGCTGGGCAGAAAAGTCAACCCCCCGTCGAACAAAAACAGCCGACCTGCTTCTCTTTCGACGAAACAGCAGGAGAAAAAAAGCGCCCCATCCGGGGGCCGGGTCCCACTAGCAGCGTTGAGCTACCTCAACGCCTGAATCTGGAAGCTTTTGCGAAGATGTGCAGGCTTCTCTTTCGACGAAACAGCAGGAGAAAAAAAGCGCTCCATCCGGGGGCCGGGTCCCACTAGCAGCGTTGAGCTACCTCAACGCCTGAATCTGGAAGCTTTTGCGAAGATGTGCAGAAATGGTGTTGAGTTTCCTGAACTGCACATCTCCAATAACACGTCCTGAATTTGGAAGCTTTTGCGAAGATGTGCAGAAATGGTGTTGAGTTTCCTGAACTGCACATCTCCAACAACACGTCCAGATTCGGGCGTTGAGGTAGCTCAACGCTGCTAGTGGGACTTGGCCCCGGCTCACAGCGAGCGGTTTCGGCGTCTTCCGCAGAGATCTTCTCAAGGACGTATTCGCTGGCAATCACGCCCGCGTTCAGACCGGGAAATTGGCCCTCCCTCCAGAGTTCGACATTCGACACGTAGCGGGACTAACCCGTGGACCAGATGCATTTGTATTGTTCAAACATTCTAAATGTATCGGACATGCGATGGTCCAGATACATTTAGCATGCTGTGTAGTAGTGCGAAACCCGTTACCTCTTTTGTCTCCGAAAAGGTAGTGTGGGCATGCTTCTGACCCCTCCCTGCCCCGCGATCGCCACCATCATCTCTGTCCGGGATCACCATCTCTCTCTCCCCTTCCCCTGCGCGACGACTCCATCCATGCGCCTGTGGAATCCAGGCCTACCGCAGGAACGAAACGCAGCATAGGGTCGCTGAGCCAGGATGCTCACGCTTATCCAATGTTTTTTTGTCTTTTCGTTTTTTTTGTCTTTTTTCTCTTTTTCTTCAAAAAGCTATATTCTTCTCTCGATTTCACCTCACACTACCTACCTTGTGAGGAGTCAGACTTCTATTGCAAATTCCGCAAAGGAGGCCGGGAATCCTCACAAACAACCGGCAGAGGTCCCACTAGCAACAAGGATCGGAATGAATGCCTGAATCTGGATATGTTTTAGGCAAAGATGCAGAAAAGCAGTTCAATCTCTATTTCCTGCACCTGTGCACAAACACGTCAAGATTTAGGCATTCAATACGATCCTCGTGGCTACTGGGACCGCTCCCGGTGACCATCTGCCCAGTTTTAGGTTACTACTGGAAACCAAGTCCAGCGCCCCTCCTTTCGGGAATATCGGGACTATGGGCCACTCCACACCACACTTGAAAACTCATTTTCAAGAGTTGCAGCATCGCCACACAGCCTCTTGAAACTTGGGGCAGTCTAGAGCTGTCAGAGTGGATCTTGAAACCTTTTCAAGAGCAGCTCTTGAAAGATTGGAACCCCCAGCCTGCAACTCGTGCGTCCTTCGAAAAAGACAAAGCTGTATCGCCACACAAGTCTTGAAAACTCTTTAGGGCCTTGCCACACCAATGTCGAAAACTGCATTTTCAACATTTCCTCCTCGCCACACAGCATGTCGAAATCCGAGATACAAAAAAAATTCAGGAGCTGTCAGGGAAAGGGTTTCGACACCTCCTGTCGAGAAGGGCTCGTTTCCCGCCATGCAACTCACACATGTTCAACAGTCCTCGGATGGGATGTCGAATAATCCTCGAATTCTTGCCCGAATGTCGAAAAAGAGAACGCACCAACACTTGTCCTATCTTCACCCCAGTTTGTCTCTTTTGTGCACAGGACTTGTGAGTTCTTCACTTCGGCATGCTGTGTGGCGAAGAGGGGCTTTCTGTCGAAAGAGGGAGTGTCGAGAATTTCCTGACATATGTCGAATTTCGTGATGTTTCGACATTGGTGTGGCGAGGCCCTTACTCTTGAAAACTCTTTTTCAAGAGTTGCTGCATCGCCACACAGCCTCTTGACACTTGGGGGAGTCAAGAGTTGTCAGAGTGGCTCTTGAAACCCTTTCAAGAGCAGCTCTTGAAAGATTGGAACCCTGGCATGCAACTCGTGAGTTTTCAAGCGTTCTTGGCCGAACCCTTGAGGGACTATCTATTTTCAAAGAGTTGTCGGGCCGTTAGTCTGACGCCATTAGAAAAAAACAAAGCTATATGACTGTCGTTTTTCATTCTCTGTCCAACACCATCGCCGCATCGCCCTTTTCGAGAGTGCTGTGTGGTGAGGGGCCGAAAACTCTTGAAAACCCAACTCTTGAGAACGTCTGACAACTCTTGAAAAAAATTTCCATTTCAAGAGTGGTGTGGCGAGGCCCTATCTCCTCTCTACATCTCTCCGTCTCTCATCCTCTCGTCCTCTCTCTCTCTCTCTCTCTCTCTCTCTCTCTCTCTCTCTCTCTCTCTCTCTCTCTCTCTCTCTCTCTCTCTCTCTCTCTCT